ACACCACAGAAGAGCGATACCACCTCAGGGAAGCCCAGCCGATCCTCTCCAGCCAACTTCCACCATCATGCATTTCTGGGTATAAGTATGACTCTGTCATTTCCTTCCTATTTCCCTTCCTATTTAACATAGGAGCTCCTTCACTACCCTTCCCCCGTTTTTCTAACTTTAACTTTTTCTCTCCAAATTTGAACTATCCCATACTTCTATTCACTTTCATTCACCACAGCTCTGACCAATTCAGGGGTTGTCTTGAGTTTTAATTGCTGCAACAGGAACGTTCTAAATGAGCTTACATACACTTACAAATTTTCTAAATACCACTATCGTTGCACTCCCCGCACTAATACAGCAGTAAATGCTTCTGCGGAAGCACAAGTTGCCTCCATACTGGCCCACTACACCGCTGCAGCCACAGAAACGCTCCGCCGAGTTGCACACCCATAGCACCACTGCTGCCGCAGTGACCCTCTAGCTAAGCCTTATTCACCTTCATCTTTACATATCACTAAAGATAGTATTTAACGTTCCTGTGGGAGCACTCAAAACTTTCCAATATCAACTGTTGAGGTGCTCCGCTGAACTATACACACCATTAACATCACTGCAACTGCAGTGACGCTCTAGCTGAGCCCCTTTTTCACTTTCATCTCTACATATCACTGCCTAACAGTACTTAACATTTCCACGTGAGGCTCCAATACTGAGTACCACTGCACCACTGCAACAGCAGAGACGCTTTGCCGAGCCTTACTCTCCCTCTGCAGCACTGCTGCAGCAGTTAAGCTTTGCCTTAGCTGCATCTGCAGAGACACCCGTTTAGCCTTAATTTCTTTGCACCACTGACTTCATTGCTCTTCTGTAACTGTAGAGAATCTCTGCTGAGCTTATTTTCCCCCTGCACCATTGCTGCAGCAGTGACACTCTGCCTGAACAGTCTTCCAACAACAGATATAAACTCTGTCATTGGTCCTCTAACACCTTTAAATCCTCAATTTGCCTCAGCCAATATTACCTCAGAGAAGCCCAGCTGATTCTAGGTAGCAGACTTCAACCTAGTTTCTAAGCAGCACGATTTTGTCTGTTCTCCATACTTTCTGTCTTGGTAGCATAGGACTTATTTTTACTAACTTTCCCTTTTCTCTTCCTCTTCATAATTTTTCAGTTTTACTTGCACTCATTCTCCGCAGCTCGGACTCGCACAGGGGTAGCCCCAAGCTCCCACTGCCACAACAGTGAAGCTCTTTAAAAGCTCACATACACTTTCCAAAAATTTAACCATCATCACACTCCCCCGCAATAATACAGCCGGGAATGTAGCGGGAACTCGTATTGCTTCCATACTGACCACAATCACACCTCTACAGCAGCTCCACTTAATTACATTGCATTGTAGCATCAATTCATTCTCCATCACCACACTCCTCGCAACAATACAGCCGTAAAGGCTTAGCGGGAACACACATTGCTTTCACACATATAATGCACCAGACACTGAATACCTATGCACCTCTGCAGCCGCAGAGTCGCTCTACCGAGCATCATTAAATCTCTGCTACATAGCAGCTATTCGTCTCTTCAGAAGCCTAATTCCCTTCAAATACTGACTTCCACCGCACCTCTGCAGTTGCAGAGACGCTCAGCCGAGCCTCATTCCCCTCTACATAACTGCCGCCGCAGTGACACTCAGCGAGCGCATATACACTTTCATTTAGAGTTCCACTACTGATACACTCCCCAGCTATGCCAAAGCAGTTAAACGTCTCTGCAGAGGTGTTTTTCCCTCCCAAATACTGACTTCCTTTGCACCTCTGCAACAGCAGAAACACTCAGCTGAGCTTCATCCCCCCTCTGCACCACTGCTGCAGCAGTGTCACTCCGCCGGAGCTCATGTACACTTCCATTTCATTCATACCACTACTGACACACCCCCTGCACTGCTGAAACAGTTAAATGCTTCTGTAGAAATGTATTCTGAACCTTTCACTATTGACTTCCATTCACACCTCTGAACAACAGAGATATACAGTCGAGCCTCATCCCCTCTGCACCACTACGCAACAACAGTGGACACAGCTACTCTTCAATAATTCCTTCATACTGATTCTTACCGCATGTCTGCAGCAGCAAACACTCTGCAGAACCCTATAGCTACATTTTATCAATACCATAGTAAGCCTCTCTTACAGAGCTCACCCAAATACGTTTCAAATCATTACATTTATCTCACTCTCCTGCCCGGTCCTGGCAAGTAATTCTGCCCCGGGACCACACATAGTCGTATATAATCCGTCTGCAAGTACACCACTCCAGTAGCAACGACCACTCCCATCTTACCTTTTACACCCACACTAGCCTCATTTTACTCCAAGCTTTTCTAGTTTACTCTTTACTCAGCAGTCGGATATTGCATTAATCTTCATTTTCTTTTGGGGGGTTCTTCAAATACGTGGCTGCTGTCCCGAGTGGAGCATTTTGGGGAGTTGTCGAGATCTACCTGAGCTCAAGGCTCCCCTCTTGCCCTTCAAACCGGAGGGAGCCCAGGGCTCACAAACCTTTGAGCTCAGGGCTCTCTCCTGGGACAGCATGCCAAACTTGCTTATAATCAATCATCAGCTAAGTGTGAACTCTTGAAATCACTGAAAAATGAGTTCACTGAGTTCATGCTCTACTTAATATACAAATTCAGTTTATTTATTTTCTAACAAGCTTTTAACCTAATTAATATTACATTTTAAAGTGTGTCAGGTGTACAATTCAGCATCCAACTCATTTATTTCGTTGACAAATGTATAGTTATAATATATATTGTGGAAAGATTGGTTAAACTAGATACAAAAATAATCTTGGACAATGTTTGACTGCCATAATTTATTTCATTTTGAAATAAGCTGTATATTGAGATGTGGTTGAATTGACATTTGTTTATTTCATGATGGAGAAAATGTTTCTCTTCTTATTTAAGTTTGTCCTCTTACAGATCTTAAAACTAGATAAATTGTTTAAACTTATGAGGCTATGTTATGTTAATTTTAAAGGTTTTTTTACTCCACTTCACTAGGCTAAAAGTGCCCATAGTTGAAGAATGGCCCATAAGCGGATTGCATACACCCACATACACTTGCTATAAACACACACAAATAAACTAGATCCCTATACACCCACAGCAACACACGCACATATAAACTTGCTTCATGCAAACACACATGTACACACTTGCATATACATATAAACTTGATTATGCATATGCACCTATGAACTTCTCCATATGTATATTTAATCATTTATATTTATATTTTATAAATTGTTTTGAGCATCCAATAGTATAGATGAATATGATAATTTATAGGTGTTTTATCTATGTGTTAATACATTTGATTCAAATGATACATGATGGCACCTTATACATCAGAAATCACAATCAAGTGAACAAGGGCAATGTAGTTCACACACAAAACACAAGTTAACATGTGCAGTGCCCTCTAGGGTCCAAACTGGGCACTGCCACTACACATAAAGTATGACATTTTATTTTATGTAAATATTTTACAACCAAATCAAATTTACTGTACATGCATTCATGACTCATGCTAGGGTTACTTCTAAATCATTTGTATGCTCATCATTAGATTTCTTCATAATTAAGTAACATTTAATTTAAATAGTACATTATTATCTATGTAAGATTAGCGTAAAGTATTACCAATGCTTGCAATGATTTTTCAGTTTCTTTAGACAGTGTTCTTAAGGTTATCAAGATGTTTATGGACATATAATTTGAGTATAAATAAAAAACATGGGCATCCAGACTGCATTCAAGGAACTCTCTTTTTCTTTACATGCGGGAAAAGTTGTTGAACCAGTTTAACAGACATACTCACACCACCTGAAACTCCACCCTTTAAATCCCTTACCAGGAAGAGAGGAGTTATTTCTGTTTTTGTCATACTGACTCATTTGAGAAAATTAAAGGGAATCAGCAATTAATGAAGAATAAAGAGAACCGCTTTCAAGAAGGATTCTTCAAAAGATTGTTTCAGACTGCAGATCTTTAAGATTCTTGTGATTTTTATTTTTATTTTTACTTTTTTGAAAGCCTCAAACAGAAAGTAAAAGTAAAGTTCATATTGTGAAAATGGCTTCACTCCGTGTGTCTGAAGAAGGTCTTTCTTGTCCTATTTGCTCTGAGATCTTCAAGACTCCTGTTCTTCTGTCGTGCAGTCACAGTTTCTGTAGGCAGTGTCTTCAACAGTTCTGGAGAAACACAGAATCTCAGAATTGCCCGGTCTGCAGGAGAAGATCCTCAAAACTTAAACCTCCAGTTAATCTCGCCTTACAAAACCTCTGTGAGTCAATCCAGGGGGATAAAAAAGGAGAGGGGAAATATGAGAAGAGTTCAAATAAGGCAAGAAAGGTTTGTTTATGATAATCAGTAGTAATTAATTAAAATGTGATATACAGATTGGTCAGGATTATTCGCCTTCCTGTGAATTTTAGTTTTTTTATATATATTTCCCAAATTATATCTAACAGATCAAAGACATTTTCACAGTATGTCTGATAATATTCCTTAATATAATATATGATAATATAAACAGGATTTTGGTGAAAAAATATACTGGGGCTAATGATTTAGGAGGGCTAATACTACTGACTGCCATTAGGTGGTGCTTTTGGGGTAGTATTTTTTACTAAATTAAATTAAAACTCCTTAAAGACACTCATCTAATTACATTTGAGCACCATAACCAATTGTTCTGGGGGAGTGCTATAATAAAGCAATGCAATGTAGTGATGTTTAAAACTTGACAACAAAAAAATATAACAAAGAAATTACTTAACTGACTGCTAATATTTTACAGAGAAAAATATTTAATATATAATGTCATGTAATATTAGTATATGACATATATTGTATTAGTTAATATTGAGTTATCTTGCAAGTTCATGTTTTTCTGCTTCTTGTGTTTTTTATTGTTTTTTTAATGTACAGAGCAAAATTGATCTAATTATGAAAAGCATCAACACTAAAGATGGATATCCTGCTCGATACAGACTGCAAAGAAGCACAGACAATCTAGCCCAGTCTGAACTATTCAGAAAAGTCACCTTTGGCGAGAGAGACAAAAACAAACCCCATAAAACTATTCTGATAGTTGGAGAAACAGGAACAGGAAAAACAACCCTGATCAATGTGATGGTCAACTACATGCTGGGTGTAAAGAGAGAAGACAAGGTCTGGTTTGAGATCACAGATGATCAAAGCGATTGGGATCAAGCTCACAGTCAGACCTCCATCATCACTTTTTATGGGGTTTATCTACAGGAGAGTCCAATGGATTTAACAATCATCGACACACCAGGATATGGAGACACTCGTGGAGCTGAGCTTGATAAACAGATCGCTGTGAGTTTGCTTAGTCTGAGTAAATCTGAAGATGGAATCCATGAAATTAATGTAGTGTGTCTGGTGATTAATGCAACCCAAAGTAGACCTACTGACAGACAAATGTACATTCATGATGCTGTTCAGTCTTTATTTGGAAGAGATATTGCTGAAAACATTGTCCTGCTCCTCACACACTCAGATGGATTTCCTCCTAGAAATGCTCTGATGGCTGTTAAAGATGCTCAAATCAAGTGTGCAGTGAATGAACAGAAGAAGCAGCCTGTGTTTTTCCTATTTAACAACTGTCAGTCAGAAGCTTATGATGAAGAATATGAGAAAATACAGGAAGAATCATGGAATGTCAGTTTCAGAGGGATGACGGGATTGTTTGAGTTTCTTAAAACCATAAGTCCAAAATCCCTGAAGATGACTCAAGATGTTCTACAACAACAGGTGCAGCTAGAAGCAATAGTCTCCAATTTAAAGTCACGAGTTAAAGTGATGGGACTTAAGCAAAGTGAGCTGAAACAAACACAAGAGGCTCTGGAGAAAATCAAGTGTTATGTTCAGAGCAGTAATAACTTTGAGTATGAAGTTGAAGTGTCCTATAAAGTAAAGGTTGATATTGATCAATCTTTAGCTAAAATGGCCACATGCTGCACTGTCTGTGAGGAGAACTGTCATTATCCTGGGTGCTGGTGGGTCAGTAACCTCTCATGGTGTAGTGTGATGAGCAATAATCACTGTACAGTGTGCACTAAGAAATGCCACTACAGCAAACATGTCAAAGGAGACAAAATATATGTGACAAAGACAAAACTGGAGAAGAGGAAGTATGAAGATTTAATGAAGAAATATGATCAGGAAATTGGGGGAATTGTATCATTGATGAAGAAGCTGGAAGAAGAACTGCAAGAATTAGATAAAGAGAAAGGAAAGCTTGTGATGGAGGCTTTTCACTGTGTAGACTCTCTGCAGATGATCGCTCTCAACACTGATCCAGCATTCATGCTTCAACATGTGGATTTTCTGATTGAGAAGCTGAAGGAAATAAAGGAGCAGGAAAAGGTCAAAACACTGGAAGACATCAAGAAGAGAGCAGGAGAAAGAACACATGGAGCTCTGAGATACTTTAGTTTTCGTGTGCCCACAAGCAAATGGAATAATTTTTTAGGAAAAAACTTTTTTTGAAGCACATTTTGTGAAAATGGTTTGAAAATTTACAAAAACTAGACAATAAACTCCGGGCAAGTTGACTACCCTCTTGTTATGTTGGTGACTGTTGGTGACCAATTGACTTCCATTATAATCATGTTTTGCCATGAGACCATACAATCATGCATTCTTGATTAATGCTGGTTTTCCCTGTTGGGAAGAAGCAAAATGTGTAATTTTTACTGTTGATCATCAACTGCTGTATCAAAAATTGTGTGTGTGTGTGTGTGTGTGTGTGTGTGTGTGTGTGTGTGTGTGTGTGTGTGTGTGTGTGTGTGTGTGTGTGTGTGTGTGTGTGTGTGTGTGTGTGTGTTTGTCTGTGTGTGCGTGTGTGTGTGTGTGTGTGTGTTAGAGAAAGATAGGGGTGGGTGAAGTGGTAAGAGAGAAACATCTTTGCACAATATGCAAATATATTTACAAATGAAAAAGAATTAAAGGGTGAAAATATTGCAAAAATTATATTATAGCTGAACAGGAGAGAAAAGTTGAGGAGATAAAGTGGGGGAGAAGTATATTAACATATTCTCCTCAGGCCATGACTCAACAATATTAAATATATTGTATATTGAAATATAAACAATCAATGTCTCTGTTGATTTCATCACTACAAAGCTCAAGTCATAAACTGTCAAATGACACCAAACATGACAAAGATATATGAAGGAAGATCACAAGCAGATTAATTGTGTATGGTGAAAAGCACATGGTTACTGCAAGCAAATGGCAAAGATGTATATTGGATCTGTGAGGAACTCTGCCACTACAGGAGGATCCATATGTTTGGAATGTCCAGCCTGATCTCACGAGAAAACGTAAGTATTTTACGTTTTGCCAGTTTAGTGGCTAATTCGTACGAATTCGTACAAGTTCAGTCGTACGAAATGGTACGATTTTAAAAAGGAGACGTGGCACCCGACCCCACCCCTAACCCCAACCGTCATTGGGGTAAAAGCAAATCGTACTAAATTGTACGAATTAGATTGTACAAATTCATATGAATTAGCCACTAAATGAAAAAGTTACGAATTGCCGTGAGATTGTGTTGGAATGTCTCAGTAGTCCTTCAATAGCATAGAAGGAATATATAATAGAGGCATATATAATATTTTCTCATCTTACAAATATATAAAAAAACACCACCTCCATGCCTTCTTCATCTCGGGGAGGCTTTTTCAGTTTATTCATGACAATTTGCTTTTGTATCAAGCTATTGTTAGTAGTAGTATTATTTATTATATGCAGATATATATATTGAAAAGGGAAAGAACGAGGAGGCTCATCTCTCATTCTGGCACTGCAGATGCTATGTTTAACTGTTTTCTTGCTAGTGAAGTGTTCAGTTTTAACACTTACAAAGTCTGTCATGTAAATAGCAAATGCATTATGGAGAGACGCAACTGACACTTACAGGGAATGTGAGATGAGACTCTGATTGGTTTATTCTCAAAACACACCTATAACTTATTAAGAGAATAAGCTCAACCCTGTTAGACCATGCACCACGGCGCAAAGCGAATTTTACCATCCTCAATATAACAAAAGTGGATTTAGACACGCCCTTAATGCTTTTGCGCCCTGCGCTTTAGATTTTGCGCATAGATCGTTAAAATAGAGCCCAAAATCTTTAGATAAATTTAGGCTCTCGGCTGTAAGGGTGAAATACAGAAGAGCCTAGCATGAAAAGATCTGTGTAAACTTGATGACTCATACACAAATTATGGCTTGATGGAATCCAGTGAGAGCATGCCACAGTGAACACTGTGCTTAAGCATGAATACTACAATTTAAAATGTTTTAAGTATAGTTGTTAATCCAAGGGTTTTTTGTGTCCTTTTTTGGTGGTGGTTGGGGTGTGGGGGCAGAATTCGCCCTACACAAAGGGGGTCCTCAGCTGAAAAAGTTTGAGAACCACTGCTCTAAGGAAATCTAACTTGCATTATAATTTGATTATGTGCAAATATTATAATTACTATATTTGTATATATGTTTCTGTAACTATATCTATGTATATACACTGACCATACAAAAACAAAATCTCATGTTATCACAAGCACCTAAGACATGAGCAAGATTGAGAGGTCTGCTGCAGTTACTTCCCACTGACTGCGCTCACCAAAAGCATGATGGGAAACAACTGGCTGACGACACAGATGATTGCTTATTGGAATTGACTGACCAACTACACTTTATTCTGTTTTTACTAAGGTTTAAACCTGGCTTTGTTGTATACCTTTTTTTTTTTTGTATTTTCATTGATAATTAAAAAAAAAGACATAAAGACCATTGCATATGTTTATTTATTTAGATTTACATGCAAAAGAAAAACACATCTTTGTAAAAAATATATCTAATATAACAAAATGTTACAAATAAATCATCAGGATGTGAATGTGCTGTATTTTATTTCCCTCTTACTTTAAAGACCTGTTTGTTGTCATTTTCACTTTTTTGTATGTGTGTGTGAATTTTTTTGTAGATTGTAATTTTCATGTGGCGTTATTCCATAAAAGTCAATCCATTAACAGATACATACAATCACATATGCATGCATACAAACTAAGTTAATCAGACTGTTTTGCCATTATGCCTCATCTTTTTGTGGTATCATCTGAGAAGTGAAATGGGTATAGAGTAAACACACACACACACACACATGTAAAGTCAGAAGTTGTTTAATAGACCAAGAACATCTTCACAGTATTTCCTACTGTCTAATGGTTTTTATTCCGGACAAAGTCTGGAATAGACTATGTATTTTAGTCTGGCTGGAGTAAAAGTTGTTTATATAGGCATAATAAGCATGTCAATATAATTAGACCCTTAAGAATGTATGTCTGCAGAACAAACCACTTTTGTCCAGTTACTTTAACATACAATTAACATAAATTAAATAAATTGCACTTTAGGCTGAATACCAATATCTTGCAAAAAAAAAAAAAACACATGCAAAAATATTGAATAAATTATATATTATAATATTATTTCATCATGCAAAGACTAGAGAAATTAGTTATTAAAAATTAGTTCTTAAAACTATTGAAAAAGCCTCTGTTAAACAACACTTTTACATGTTTGATGCAATATATATTTTTAAACTTATAATTTTAATAAGTATTGTCTTTATTGTCTGTAATGTCTACTGGCTAATAATTTTGTCTTTAACTATGTCACTTTATACATTCTAATGCCTTGTAGAAAGTCTGAAATGACTATAGAAATGAACCACTTATTCAATAAAATGCCAAATTCTAGAGACATTCCTAACAAATAAACAAACATTTGTCATGACCTGTCACTCAAAAGCAACTTGCTATTTAGGTACTTAATTTATAATATAGCCAAATTAGATTTCTTAAAACCTTTCCTACTGTATAAGCTGTTTATTTTTACAATCTTTTAACATTTTTTGAACATACTTTTTATTTAAATACAGTAATGAGCTGTTCATGAGCTGTTCATCTTCTGTGATTGTGACCATCTTTTAGTAAAAACAGTTATATTTCAATTGCATCCACTCCCACATTAAAAAAAAAAAGTAATTTACAGCAATACATTTTTGAAACTTTGTAAAAATAGCCTATTAAAATTTTATAGTTGTTCTGGTATCACAACAACAATAAACATAACCCAATACTGAAAAAAAACGTTCAAAAACATAGTACTTTTTTCATGAGGTCAAATATCTAGGATGAAAAACGTGAATGCGATCTCCGCCATTGGTGATGTTTCCAGGTGGTAAAACAGCGAGAATGTATTTTTTGAGCCCTCCTCTTACTGCTGCCGCCTGCTCTCATCTACATTGCAGTCAGGGCGAGGCGCATCTTAAACAAGCCTTATAATGAATGACACTCTTCTCAGATAGATAGATAGATAGATAGATAGATAGATAGATAGATAGATAGATAGATAGATAGATAGATAGATAGATAGATAGATAGATAGATAGATAGATAGATAGATAGATAGATAGATAGATAGATAGATAGATAGATAGATAGATAGATAGATACTTCATAGATACTTCATCTGAAAATTAGTTGACAACAGTGGTGCAAAGAAGTGTTATTTATTAAACAATGGTTGAGTGCAGACAAAGTTATTAAGTTATTAAGTTTGTCTTACAAAGGTTTTAACTTAAATATAGCACTTTACATCACAGTACTACTTAAGTTAATTACCTGGAAATATTTTGTCCAGTATTTTATCAGCTGCCATAATAGTTACTTTAATTTGTCTGCAGTTTCTTTTGCAAAAGTAAAAACTAAAAAAAATGTTCAGTTGTCTAAGCACAGATAAAAATATTCTTGTCATTGCTTACTTTCATAAGAGTAATCTTTGTACATTCGTACATGTTTATCTCTGTCCTACAATGTATTATACACCAGTAACATAACCAATGATGCTGTAGGGGCAACACGGTGGCTCAGTGGTCAGTTGGCATTTCTATGTGGAGTTGGCATGTTCTCCCCAAGTTGACGTGGGTTTCCTCCGAGTGCTCCAGTTTCCCCCGCAATCCAAACATGCGGTACAGGTGAATTGGGTAGGCTAAACTGTCCGTAGTGTATGTGTGTGTTAATTAGTGTGTATGGGTGTTTCCCAGTACAGGGTTGCATCTGGAAGGGCATCCGTTGCATAAAACACATGCTGGAATGGTTGGCGGTTCATTCCACTGTGGCAACAGCATGAAAAATAACGGACTAAGCTACATGAAATTGAATGAATGTATGAAGCTGCCATTTTTTAAACAACTGCATGAGATAAAGTTGCAGCGTTAAACCAAATGCATCATATGAGCTTCACAGGAGCGAACAGTAAATTATGAGCTGAAATTGTTAAAATATAACCAAGATAAGAGTAATTGCAAACACACTGCATGTATTTACATTCTTGTTTTTCATTTTCAGGGTGTGTTAACAGAAAAACCATTTAAAAGTAGCACAAATGACTGACTGTTCTGTGTGAATGACCTCTTAAAACATTTGATTGCAGGTTAATTTCAGTCCATTTTGTTAAAATTTTACATAATCCTGATGTTGTTCTTTGACCCGTTCAAACACACCTCAAATCTTTACTCATTTCACTTCAAAAAAGATCTTTCATTTCTCCTTTCCAACTCTTTTCTTTCTTGACAAAAGCAAAAAGGAGTCGACAATCAATGAATGAAGAGGAAAAACCTTCAATGAGGATTTATGAGAAGTTTATTTCTGAATCATTGTAAAAGTTTAGATTTCTGGAGCACAACCAGTGAACATGTCTTCAATACTTGTTTCTGCAGAAGATCTTTCTTGTCCCGTGTGTTGTGAGATCTTCAGAGATGCGGTTATTTTATCATGTAGTCACAGTGTGTGTAAAGAGTGTCTACAAGAGCTCTGGAGAAGCACAGACTCTCTGGAGTGTCCCGTCTGCAGGAGATCATCCTCAAACACTCCTACAGGTAATCTTGCATTGAAAAACCTGTGCAAATTATTCCTGAAGCAGAGAAACGAAAGCTGTTCATCAGGACCTGAGCAGATCTGCAGTTTACACCGAGAGAAACTCAAACTCTTCTGTCTGGAGGACAAACAGCCACTGTGTTTAATGTGCAGAGACTCACAGAAACACCTCAAACACACACTCAGACCCCTCACTGAAGATGATCCTTCATGCAAGGTAAGACAGATATGATATGACATAAAGTTTATATGATTTTCTGTGCCATTCGTTTTGTACTGTGCATTACATGTATCAGTGTTTCCCAACTCTGTTCCTGCATGCACACCAAGAACATTTTTTGTCAGAAGTTTCCCTTCTGCCCCATTAACTTCAGGTTTGGAGTCTCTTCTAATGTTCAGATGAGTTGTTTCAGGTGTGTTTGATCAAATGCTGTTGGTGTGTTTTTAGGAAAAGGTTTGAGAAACACTAACATACATAAATATATTACAGAAATCTCCAATAACTTACAGATGTCCTTTTGAAAATAGGCACCAATGCAAACAATTGAAACAATTCAGATCAAGTGTGTCTTTTGAAATACCGACAGCTGGATTTACTTTAAAGCAAACATTTATCAGCTATAAATTGTGACAATGATTAAGCTGGTGATGTCTGTCAGGTGATTATTTGTTAGGGGGCAGGGCTAACAGGCTAGGCGTAATCTCATTGGCTAGTGCTGAGATTTCTTTTGAAATAAAAGGGATTTCTTTATTTTATTCACTCAATTGATAACTAGCGAGTGGACGTTCTGAAAGCAAGATAAGGTGTTGCTTAAGATATTGCAAACACTATATTGAATGATGGGATAAGTTGGGTTCCAGAGGAATAACAAAAAATTAGTTGGCAGATGAGGATGCTAAAGATGCTACAAGAAAATCAATTATAGACATGGAAATATAATTTAGTAAAATGGAGTTTTAATACAGTAATTTAAAAAAATAGATTGCTAAAGCAATGGTAGGAAGAAAGAAATTAAAGATAAGTGTTTAATATACAAACTAATGTGGATAAAGGAAGGATAAACAGGCAGAAATAGAAAGGAAGAAAGCATAATCTCAAGACTTTGATGGAGACATGCAGGACTCAACAGTACAAAACAAAATGTTACAAAACAAGGCAGATGAGGACTGTAAATAATTTTTAATGCTATATTTGAAAATGACTAAGTTAGCTAAAAGAGTTTAGATAAAATTTATGTAGGAAGGTGTTTTTTTTTTTTGTTTTTTTTTAAGGTTGATTGTTTGTGTGATCATGGCCCACACTCCTAACCAGCAGGTGACAGTAATGCATCTAGAAATTGTATGCAAACACCAATAAAACTCATAAGAAGAAGATTCAATTCATGTTTATTTCTATAACTTTTTTCACTATGTAGATTGTGTCAAAGCAGCTTAACATAGTTCTAGTAAAGTCCAGATTTTAGAGTTAAAGAACTCTAAAAAAAAAAGAGGAATGAAAAAATTCAATTGACAAAGTGAAGCGGGAAAAAAGACTCAATCAATAGTCTACGAAAATGAGAGCTGCATCCAATGCATTTTAATGTGCTCAACTAACCCTACACCGCACAGTAACGTTACTCGCTCCATTGAGTGCATTGTGTCTGACATTGCATCGCTGAGATATGTGGTCTCAGCTTGCATCATCAAGGCTGCATCCAGATACGACTGACAAAAATGAAATTATCAATCAGAGCACATTTATTAAACCAATATTTTAGTGTTTTTTTATTTGTCTTTTCGTGCGTGAGTGTACTTTTTCAGGTTTCACCAAAAAAATATAGTGAGCATTAATAATTTTGAGCTGCAAACTTTTCATCACGCTACTACGATTTTATAAGACAAATTATCATCATAAGACATGTGATCCAAAAGCAGCTTTTTAATTGCATGTTATGATTTTGCCAAGTACGATGCGATCCTGGATTAATATCTATGCTGATCCTGGAAGAAAATTTTTGTTGGAAAATGTAATTCAAACCTATTACCTACCCCTAAACCCAACCATAACTGTAAATATTTCCCAAAATCAGAGGGGAATAATAGTTGGATAACAATCATGTAAAATTGCATAAACCTCAATGTAAACCTAAATTAACATAAACGGTAAACATATCATTTTATTCTGATTGGCTGATTGGAATGCTGTTCCCGGATCAACATAGATGATGATTAAAGCTGCGGTCACACTGAGCTTTTCCCCCCATAGACACGCAAATGCATCAGACCGGAAACACAGGGTCATGCATCAAGTTTCGCAGGTTTCTTCGGTGCAAAGTTCAAGCTTTATAAACTTTGACCTGCGAAATCACATCACTTTACTTTGTGAGACCAATCGAGGATTAAAACATGACATTTCTGGACAGAAATTTAAAACATGTAGCAATCACTTGCTTTTTAAATGTCTAATCATCTTGTTTAATCCTGCCTCTCTTTGTAGCGTTGCACGACAGAATTTCGCACACAAACTCTAGTGTGACCACAGCTTGATTCAGGATTATGCTCTACTTGGTGAAATCAGATCAGGGATTTAATTAAAATACCCAAAATACAGTAGCAGGTCTCCACAACAAAAATCCAAAAACAGTTTAGCGATGTCGCCTCAAAGCAAGACGGTCGCTGGTTCCAGCCTCGGCTGGGTCAGTTGTTGTTTCTGCGTGGAGTTTACATGTTCTCGCCATGTTGGCGTGGGTTTCCTCCTGGTGCTCTGGTTTCCCCCACAGTCCAAACACATGTGCTATAGAACTGATAAAGCTAAATTGCCGTAGTGTGTGAATGAGTGTGTGTTGGTGTTTCCCTGTGATGGGTTGTGGTTGGCAGGGCATCCGCTGCATAAAACATACGCGGTTCATTCCACCGTGGCGACCCCAGATTAATAAAGGGATTTAGCTGAAAATGAATGAATCAATCAATCAAAATTGTAATAAGGCACCAGCTGAGGAGGCAAGAAAAATACATATTCATTGAACGTGCCTGCATTAAGATGACATATAAATTTGTTTATGACCTATAAATGAACATTACAAATAACAATCTTTCTTGTATCCTTTTGTTTTTCCTTATATACAGAACAAAACTGATCTCATCCAAAAAAGCATCAAAATTGAAGATGGAAATCCTGATCGATACAGACTGCAAACAACAGCAGACAGGTCAGATGAATCTGAACTATACAGAAAAATGAACTTTGGACAAAGAGACAAAAACAAACCTCATAAAACCATTCTGCTGGTCGGAGAAACAGGAACAGGGAAAACAAAACTCATCAACACCATGATCAACTACATGCTGGGTGTAAAGAGAGAAGACAAGGTTTGGTTTGAGATCACAGATGACCAGAGTAATGAAACATCAGCTCACAGTCAGACCTCCATCATCGCTGTTCATGGGGTTTATCTACAAGAGAGTCCAACTGATCTAACAATCATCGACACACCAGGATATGGAGACACTCATGCTGAACTTGATGAACAGATCGCTGTGAGTTTTTTTAGTTTAAGTAAACCTGAAGATGGGATCCATGCAGTAGATGCAGTGTGTCTGGTGATTAATGCAAACCAGAATCGCCTCTCTGACAGACAGATCTACATATTTGATGCTGTTCAGTCTATATTTGGAAGAGATATTGCTGAAAACATTGTCCTGCTCTTCACACACTCAACTGGAGCTCCTCCTAGAAATGCCTTAATGGCTGTTAAAGAGGCTCAAATCAAGTGTGCAGTGAATGAACAGAAGAATCAGCCTGTGTTTTTCCTGTTCGACAACTATCAGTCAGATGCTCACGATGAAGAATATGAGACAATACAGGAACAATCCTGGAATCTGAGCTTTAGAGGAATGACAGGATTGTTTGAGTTTCTTAACACCATAAAACCAAAATCCCTGAAGATGACTCAAGATGTTCTACAACAACGAAATCAGCTAGAAATAAAAATCTCCAATCTAAAATCACATGTTCAGCTGATAAAACTAAAGCAAAATGAGCTGAAACAACCTCAAGAGGCTCTGGAGAAAAGCAAGTGTTATGTTCAGAGCAATAAAAACTTTGAGTATGAAGTTGAAGTGCCCTATAAAGAAAAGGTTGATATTGATCGGTCTGTAGATGAAGCGGCGATGTGCTGCACCGTCTGTGAGGAGAACTGTCATTATCCTGGATGCTGGTGGACCAGTGATGTCTCTCTGTGTAGTGTGATGAGAAAGAATCACTGTACAGTGTGCTCTAATAAATGCCACTACAGCAAACACATCAAAACACCTAAAATATATGTGACAAGGACAAAGAAGGAGAAGAGGACGAATGAAGATTTAAAGAAGAAATATGATGAGAAAATCAAGACCAATGAGTCTGCAATCAAGAAACTGGAAGAAGAGCTGCGGGAGTTAGAGAAGGAGAAGATGAGGAGTGTGTTTGAGGCATTTTACTGTGTGGATATTCTGCAGTTTATTGCTCTTAACGCTGATTCACTGAACACACTTCAACATGTGGATTATCTGATGGAGAAGCTGAAGGACATAAATGAGCCTGAAAAGGTCAAAAAAGTGGAAGACATCAAGAAGAGAGCTGACGGAAAATACAGAGCTCTGAGATTCATCAAAAGATGTTAAATTGAAATAAATTTTAAATGCAATCTGTGATCAGGTTAAATTAGTTTTGTTAAATAATTTGTATATGCTGCTCCAACATTGAAAACAAATACCAAACCAAACAGGTCTTCACAGAAAACACAATAGATACTATTTAGATTAATTTATTTGTTTTGTTTCAGCCTAGTTCACCTTTATTTATCAGGGTTTGCCACAGCGGAATGAACTGATACACTTATCCAGCAAATGTTTTACACAGCGGATGCTTTCCGTTTTTTTCTGGGATTTTCCGTTTTTTTCCGGGATTCTCCCGTATTTTACAGTTCTATCCCGCTATCATCCCGTAAAAGTATTTTCCTGTCCTGTATTTCTCCTGTATTTTCAGTGTTTCTCTGAAGGATGGCAAGAAACATTTAAAGAGCAGAGCCTCTTAATACGTACTCATTCCGCCGAACCACCAGTGGCGTGAGTATGTTCTGTGCTTTCGCTTTGTTTAGATACGAAAACACAAAAATGGTGCGATTCCCTTTCTTTTCATCACAGGTGCCATCATCTCTCCTTTGCAATCCTTAATACAGTCATATAACGGTGCATGACTGTCAGCCATAGTGATGAATAGGCGCTGTTTCCCAAACAGATTCTGTACACATAATTTGAAGCAGATCGAAAGTCTGGGTTTTGGGTGCATGTATGAACAGACACACACACATAATTAATAATAATATTTAAAGATGTCGATCTTGGTGGGGGTTTTTTTCTTATTATGGTGGGCATATCAGCCTATTTATACATCCCAATGTTTACAGGTATGCGGATGCCTACTGAAAACACCTATATACTATTGTTTTCACACACATACAGTAGACTACAGCCAATATAGTTTATTCAATCCCCCTATATAGCGCATGTGTTTGGACTGGGGGAAACTGGAGCACCTGGAGGAAACCCACACCAACACGCGGAGAACATGCAAACTCCACACAGAAATATATGCATTTAATCATGATTGCTAATGCTATTTGTGAACTGTTTGTAATTGTATTATTAAGCATTACATGTATTTGATCATGATCTAAAGCTGCATTTGTGCAGTTAGAAATTGTGTTATTAAATGCTGCCACCTGGAGGACAGAAGAGAAAATGACGGGATCATACCATTATTTATTTTAGAATTTATGAATGAGAATATGGTATAAGTGCTTTTGCTTGAATCTCATTGACACAACTATATTTATTTGGCTTTGGGGCAGAATTTGTGCTCAGATTCAGATACTATACCCACACAGCAAAATTTCTCTGGCCCAGCTCTGTCCCATACAATCAGCTTTTGCTTGGCCCACATGCTGCAAGGAATTACGATACATGACTGGACCAAGTCTGGCTTCCAGACAAGGGTCAAACATGGACCATATCTGGGTCAAGTCAAGTTAAGTTATTACTGAGCCTGAACTGAGCCAGATATGACACTTTTGATCATTGTCTGGAAGCTGGACTTGGTGTGTCACGACTGCAATGAAATTGATAAACCCATAAAGAATTGCAATTTAGGCACCCTATGGGTATGTCTTTCTTTAAATTTTTATTTTATTTTATTTTAACAATTAAATGTGTGCTTGTGCATAAAATGAAACAATCAAAAAATATATATATATATATTATGTCTTATTAAATAAACTGACTTTGACATTTGGTTAATAATAATATAATTTGTATAAATAATAGCCTTGTTTGGCCCACATGCTGTATGCCAGTGCCACATGAATGCCTGCTGTGCTAGCTATATGCCAAATCTGGGCAAGAATTCTTTGCTACCTGGGTACATCTTCTGAAACTTTAAAAGCATTTTTAAAGCTGAAACCGCAAAATCAAAACAACTAAATTAACTGAACACGTCATGGCAAAAAATGTATTACTGTAAATTTAGTTTTTATAAAAGTGGCTATTTAATAAAAGTATCGAAACATTGTGTTTGTCTTTTTAAATATACCGGCAGAAATGACAGAAGGTATATTAAGTATTTTACACCCCTGTAATTCATTAGCAGGCCAGTCCAGGTACTGTAAATTAACTGCGACGAAGCAAGAGTTGGGCCAAAATTCTGATGAAAACCTTTGCCTCAATCAGATACAATTATTACAAACAATTAAATATGATAAGCCAGGTCTGTATCTGTAATGTTCAAAATTATTTTATTGACATGCTCTACAGTACAATGAGACTCTGGACTCTGATATCTATCTGTTCTTAGCTAAATTAGGTAGTTAATTTGTTTTCTTTTTTGCTTAGTCCCTTTATTAATCAGGGGTCGCCACAGCAGAATAAACTTATTCCAGCAAATGTTTTATGCAGCGGATGCCCTTCCAGCAGCAACCCATCACTGGGAAACACCCATACACACTCATTCACACACATACAGTATACTATGAGCAAATTAGCTTACCCAATTCCCCTATAGCACATGTGTTTGGACTGTGGTGGAAACCGGAGCACCCAGAGGAAACCCACACCAACATGGGGAGAACATGCAAACTCCACACAGAAATGCCAACTGACCCAGCCAGGGCTCGAACCAGTGACCTTCTTGCTGTGAGGCATGCTACCCACTGTGCCACCATGCTGCCTGCACTCAGCTTCTGCATAGTAAAATGAATGTTTATATTTGATTTACTTAATGCAGCATGTTTAGTTCTTTTTCTACACAAATATGTTGTCAAATTTTTTTGAATGTGTTTTTGGGCTCTGTGGATAGGCCTTTATTAATATGAATATATATATGAATATATGAATATGAATATGTTGTTACTCATTTTACAATTGAATTGTTTAAGTGTAACCTTTACATGTCTTTTGTTATTTATGCTTAAAACACAGAACAGAACAGAACAGAACAGATCTCATCAAAAAAAGTGTCTTCTTTGAAGATAGAAATCCTGCTCGACCCAGACGAAAAAGACAAAAATCAATGTCAAAAAAACTATTCTGCTGGTTGGAGAAACAGGCAAAGGAAAAATAAGCCTGATCAATGCGATGGTCAACTACATGCTGGGTGTAAAGAGAGAAGACAAGGTTTGGTTTGAGATCACGAAAGAATATCAGCTCAGTCAGACCTCCATCATCACTGTTTATGGGGTTTATCTACAAGAGAGTCCAATGGACTTAACAATCATCGACATCCGTTGTGTAAAACATATGCTGGATAAGTTGGCGGTTCATTCCGCTGTGTCGACCCCTGATTAATAAAGGTTCTAAGCCAAAGGAAAATAAATTAATGTAATATTTCCATCTCAATATATCCATTAGCTGTCTGTTTAAATTTTTGAGAGAATAAAGAAAGCATTGATATAACGAATTATGTTTTGGTTTAAAAGATACTGTTAATATTTGAGTGCTTTGTTTTTTATGAAATGTATAAAATCTGTAACATTCTATGTAAATTAATTGCTTTATTAGTATTATAAAAATGTTTTAGCAGGGTACTTTTAATTAAATGAAATGTTCACTCTGTATATTTGCTTCAGTATAATCTTTCATTACTTTTCACACCCCTGAATGCTGTAAATGTAATAATCATGGACACTACAGTAAGGGCTGATTTGAACTGAATTATTAAACACTGCCACCTGGAGGACATTTGAGATCATGTATCAGATACTTAAGGTAAAGAAACTCCATCATTTTCAAGAGGAAACTGTAAAACTATTTGCTAATTTCAAGTTGTTATAGTAAGAATAACATTTATATTGTTACTAAATTTATTAAATAAAGGTTTTCTTGATTGAAACAAAGCATAATTACTTAATAATTAATTTATTTTGTTGCAAATAAAAATCATTATCAAATTTGATAAAACAGGTATAAAAGGAGCTTTATTTCCGAACAATGATGTCACATTTTTGTAATGTAATCAATATAATGCCTACTACTATGCGAACACAATGTTTTTGGATGATTAAATTAATATAAATAGTGACCATTTTAAAATACATTGTGGGTATTTTTACAATAATTCATAATCGATAAACTATATTGATCAATTTATGGTTATTTTTAGATGTCAAAAGAATAGAGGAAGATGATAGAAAAATTAAAGTGTCTTGAAAATGTCATCAGCATAATAGTCTATGGCAATTAAAGTGACAGAGAGGGTTAGGGAAAGTTGAGGATGCATGGATGATGATGGTCATTCAGAGAGCAGTGATGAGGAAGAATATCAAGAAGAAAGTGTAGTCTAGACAAGCACAGAAGTAAAGTTCCCAACTATACAAACACAGAGCACAGTCAGAAAGCAGTCAGCAACTGGCAATGCAAAAATGAAAGAATACAGATGAAGAAAAATACAATATCATGGTACATTTGTTGAGTTCATTGCATCTGTTGAGGACTTATACCGACTGCTTTCTGACTGTGTCCTGTGTTTGTATTGTTTGGACCTCATCTACTTGTCGGGACTAAACTTTTTTCTTGATAGTCTTCCTCATCACAGCTGTCTGAATGACTATCATCATCATGCATGGCCTAAGGACTCCATCCTTACTCATCATCTTCCCCTAACTGCTCAATGGCACTTTAATTGCCATCTATTATTATGGACTCTGTATATGTACAGTATTGAAATAGTTTGCCACTGATGAAATGCTACAGGACACTGGAGAACAAATAAACCTGCCCAATATATTCAAGGATGGCAAGTCTTTAAACACAGATGACAAAGAAATTGAGAAAGTCCTAGGCATGTACATAAACATGCACCCCATAAAAAGTCAAGCTGCGGTGTGCTTTTTTAATGTCAGAAGGTATGATACTGAACATTTTCCAACATGGAGAAACCTGACAGAGATAAAAACAATGCACCAGCAATGACTTCTCACATCTGTGTACTGTGTAAATGTAAAAGTGCATCTTTGCCTGAACAAGAACTGCAACTACTAGTACGCCTACCACAATGTGAAATAATAAAACACTGTAAAATGCTTAATGTAACAAAAAATAAAGAGATAAACTACCTGAAATGATCTCTTTTGTCAAAAAGTTACATTTATTTTTTTTGTAATTAAAATTATCATTGTTTTGAGCAAAAAGTTGCACAAACGCCTGATGTATCAAATGTGATACAAAATAAATATCATTAAAAAAAATTATATGGCAAAAAAAAAAAATTGTTTTTGCTTAATGGTTTAATAAACAT